CTCATGTTGCCGATGCGGGTCTTCGCTTTCGCCCCCAGCAGTTGTCGTGGCAGATGCCCCGCAAACGTTTGAGGGTCTGTCACCAGGCAGCATCGAGGATACCTTGACGTTCATGTTCGCCCAGGTCCGCCGCCGCATCGCAACTGGGACGATCAGCGTCGCAAGGAGCAAACCTTTCACAGTGGCTTGCAGGGGTAACCCGAGAGAGAAACATAGATACCGGCACGTCATTTTTCTGAGCACGTTTGAACGCGCTGTACGGTTGTATTTGCAGCTACGGTTGTATAGAGGTGGGAAGAAGATTTGTCAGCTGATATCCGGCGCGCCCATTGGCGGTCCGATCAGCAATGGCATGCTCGGCGCTGACTGCATGTACCAAGAGTTCAAGCATGGCCGCAGTTATCCTGCCGGGAGTTTCAAGCATCCCGCAGGCCGCTACGCCGATTGTATTTTTCTTGGTTCGAAGTGTTTGTGCCGTGCATGTGTGAATTGCCACGATCCCAGAAGTTTACGGCATTGCAATTGAATTCGAGCCGAAACATCAAACACAGATGACCAACGACTGTGCCATCCAGTTATACCTAGATTTCACCGTGCACAGGGATTGGAAACGTATTTTGATCGCGAGCTTGCATCGTAAATTCGATTGTGCGTTCAGTGGCGATATGTCGACAATGAAGAAAACGTCGCTCCCGCCTTTCACATGTATATTCGACAGCAACGCCAGATTGAGACACAGGTCTGAACTAGTAGGCCGGCTGCGGAGATGGGAAGTTGCGAAAGATAGTCCGTTGAACATGATCATGCTCAGCATGTTTGACATGCTCTTGTACATCAGGTTTGGGTATACTGTGAAACATATTTGCGCCTTTTGGCTTGGTGTGCCCCTTGACGAACGCGTCCGCGAGATGGTGTGGCGGTGCTTGGATGCCATCGCATGTTCTTATCAACGTGTGCTCCCGAGTGAAAGGCAGCAGGTGCAGACGATAGAACAGCCGCTCCAGATGTGCATCGGGGCGACACTGGACGTCATGAGCGGCAAGACGTCATGCATGGGCTCGGATGCGTCTGCTCATTTGTGGGCGACCCGTCAAAGCATCGCACCAGCTTTACCTGCGAGGGCGCTCGTGCATGCATTATGCGATATGTTTAAACCGTTCGGGGCCAGCCGTGCGAGGCCCGGCGAGTCAAGTCTCGAGGTAGTTTTCACGTTGACCACCTTCACCAGATTGGCCGACTTGGTGGAGCCTAGTGGACAGGATCGCCATTGAACTATGGGATTTTTGTCTGGCTTGTCTACCCACCTCATCTGATAGGATTTACGCATGCATGGACTGCGCACGACAAGCCAGCAAATCTGCGACGCCCGAGCCTCTGGAGAGCACCGCTCTCGTCGTCCAGGGGCTGTTGTCACACAGTCGATTTAGTGTTTTGGTGCGCCGTTCGTTGCGGAACCGATTTATTGTTTCGATACGCGGCGCGTTGTATCATCCGGGGCTCAAAATCCGCGTGGGCCGGGTTCACTGTTCGAGCCAATCTCTTCCGCGGGGTGCTCTGCGTAAGGTCCGGCCATGGCTTCGCGCTGCAGGTAGGGGCCAGCAGGCTTGCGACGACCCGTCGGCGATGAACCGTGCTGCAAAAACATAGGCATCAGCATATGCATCCAAAGTGAAACCTGATCATCTATTTCATCGAGTGCTAGTTGGTGTGCAGATCATCGCTACTTCCACTCAGTGGGTGTGCGAGTGAGTGTGCGGGTGTGTGGGGGTGTGGGTGTTTGGGTATGTGGGTGAGTGTGTGTGTGTGGGCGCGTGACTGTGTGGGGTTGTGGGTGTCTGGGTGCGTGGTGTGTGTGTGTGTGTGCGTGTGTGTGTGTGGGGGTATGCGGGTTTGTGGGTGTCTGGGTGTGCGTGTGCGTGGGTGCGTGTGTGTGTGTGTGCGTGGGTGCGTGGTGTGTGGGTGTGTGGGTGTGTGGGTGTGTGGGTGTGTGGGTGTGTGGGTGTGTGGGTGCGTGTGTGTGTGTGTGTGTGTGCGTGTGTTTGCGTGTGTGCGTGTGCGGCGTGTTGCGTGCGTGTGCGTGTGTGTGTGTGTGTGTGTGTGTGTGCGTGTGTGCGCGTGTGTGTGTGTGTGTGTGTGTGTGTGTGTGCGTGTGTTTGTGTGTGTGTGTGTGCGTGGTGCGTGCGTGCGTGCGTGCGTGCGTGCGTGCGTGTGTGGTGTGGGTGCGTGTGGTGCGTGGGTGCGTGGGGTGGGTGCGTGCGTGTGCGTGGGTGCGTGGGTGCGTGGGTGCGTGGTGCGTGGGTGCGGTGCGTGTGCGTGGGTGCGTGGGTGCGTGGGTGCGTGGGTGCGTGGGTGCGTGTGCGTGGTGCGTGGGTGCATGCGTGTGTGCGTGCGTGCGTGCGTGTGTGCGTGTGTGCGTGCGTGCGTGGGTGCGTGCGGTGCGTGGGTGCGTGGGTGCGTGCGTGCGTGCGGGTGCGTGCGTGGTGCGTGCGGGTGCGTGGGTGCGTGGGTGCGTGGGTGCGTGGGTGCGTGGGTGCGTGGGTGCGTGGGTGCGTGGGTGCGTGGGTGCGTGGGTGCGTTGGTGCGCGGGTGCGTGGGTGCGTGGGTGCGTGGGTGCGCGGGTGCGCGGGTGCGCGGGTGCGCGGGTGCGCGGGTGCGCGGGTGCGCGGGTGCGCGGGTGCGCGGGTGCGCGGGTGCGCGGGTGCGCGGGTGCGCGGGTGCGTGCGTGGGTGCGCGGGTGCGCGGGTGCGCGGGTGTGCGGGTGTGCGCGTGCGCGTGCGCGTGCGCGTGCGCGTGCGCGCGCGCGTGCGCGTGAGCGTGCGCGTGCGCGTGCGCGTGTGGGATGCATGCGATAACTCGCACTCCTTGCTATCACTCGCTACGGGGACGCCACCTTGCCAGCGGAGGACAAGGTGCGCGCGCGTTTGTGTGTGAGTGTGTTTGTGTGTTTTCACCCCGCTCAGCCCCGCGCGGTCTGTTACGACCCTCATTCCACCGCCCGCGCCGTGCTGGGGGGCTTCGTTGGGCAAGTGCACGCGTGCGCCAGCGCATGTTATGAGGATCCTCTGCGGAAATGCAGCTGCTCTGCGCTGTCTTCGTGGAGCGCGCCACGGACATTGTGGCGACGGTCGCGCGCTCACGGATCCAAGGCGCCGGGGGACGACGACGGCGGGGGTCGAGGATCGAGATTTGCTAAAGATTTTCTGCACTTTAGTTGCCTCCGGAATTGAATCGCTTTCCGTCGCCGTGGACCGGGTGCGCCTCGGGGGTGCTGACAGAGGCGCGCGCCCCAGGAGAGGACCGGGGGCGGGGGCCATCGGATGTTTCTCGGAGATTCATCGGGATCTTCGCGGGGCGGAGGTTTTTTGCAGATGCAGGAGTTTCGAAGGCATTCCGAAGCGGAGCTTCGGTGGGCCCTAAGTAAGTCATTGGGCGCTGTGGCGCTTTCGCACCAGTTGGGAGTAGGAGGAGGCGGGGGAGGAGGATAAGATGAGGAGGGGGAGGAGGATGCGGAGGCGGAGGCGGAGGAGGGGGAGGAGGCGGAGGAGGAGGAGGGGAATGCTGGGGAGGAGGAGGGCAGAGCGAAGTCGGAGGGCAAGGCGGCACCGCTGTCGCCTCTGCTTTTGGTCGCCGCGCGTCGACGGCCGTCGTCATCGTGGAACGCGGAGCGCTGTCCCAGACATGCGAGGCCTTGACTTTCCTTGCGCGGTCCCCAAGAGGTCCTGGCCGCTTCCCAAAGGCGGGCTTTTCATCCCAGATCCTTGTTTGACAGCCCCAGGTCCCGGCGATGGCCGCCGCGGGCCGAAAATTGGCCAAAATCAGCCGTCATGTTTTTTTTCAGGACGCAAACATGCCTGGGTCCGTCGAAAGAAGCCGTCGTTGGCAACTGTGAGATTCAATTCAGCATCGGCGCTGGTATTTTTACTTTGGCGTTATCCCGATTAGTTCCGGCTCGATCCGCTTCAATTTTGGGCACATTCTGGTCCAATTTGGCTTATAATGGCCCCTCAGTCGAGCTTGGCGCGTCCGGCGCTTGGAGGCGCCCGAAAACCAGCCCCGTGAGATGATTCTAGCCCCCTTTCTATCAGGAGGCCTCGCGCAGCGCCCAATAGTTGTATCATCTAGTCCGCACATCCGCACCGTCAGATATGAGGTTCGAGGTTCCCGCGGCGAGGCTCCAACGTAAGTGCGACGCCATCCCGACGTGACTCCGACGGAAGTCCAGCGTGATCCGACGGGAACCCTCAGACGTCCGAGGAGGAGGTGGAGGAGGAGGAGGAGGAGGAGGAGGAGGTGGAGGAGGAGGCGGAGGAGGAGAAGGGGGACAAGTTGAGCTTGTAGCCGATTTTCTTCATCAACGGCCCCAGACGTCTGGCGCCCAAACTTTTTCTCGATGCGTGGACCCCCGGAGGCCTGGCCCACATCCCTGGAGGCCTGGCTTTCGTCCTTCGTCGTTTTGTTGGAAAGTCCCGGGGCCCAGCGAGGGCCCGTTGAGGGCCCCCCCGGAGGGGGAAAATGGCCAACACAGGCCGCTCAGGCCAACACAGGCCGCTCACTTTGTCTCTGAGCCTCGGATCCCTGGAGCCTCGAGCCCCTCGGGGTTCTCACGAAGACCTCCGAGGAGCTGCCCACGAACCATCCCCGGCGGCCCTCGCGCGGCCCCCCCACACGACACCGACGACGACGGCGACGACGACGACGCCGCCGACGACGCTGACGACGACGACGACGACGACGACGGCGACGACGACGACGCCGCCGCCGACGCTGACGACAACAACGACGACGACGACGACGACGACGACGACGACGACGTCGTCGTCGACGTCGACGTCGACGTCGACGACGACGACGACGACGACGGCGACGACGACGACGCCGCCGCCGACGCTGACGACAACAACGACGACGACGACGACGACGACGACGACGACGACGCCGACGGCGACGGCGACGGCGACGACGCCGTCGGCGGCGGCCCTCCCGCGGAAGCCCCCGCAGAGGCCGCCCCGGCCGCTCGTGCCCCGGCCGGCCCGCCCCGTGGGCGGCGGCGGCGCTCGCCCTCGCCGCGGGCGCCTGCTGGGCCGGCGGGGCGGCCCGGCGCGGCCGGTCGCCGCCGCCGCTCCGCCGCCGCCGTCGTCGTCCTCGCCGCTCCGTCGCCGCCGCTCCGTCGCCGCCGCTCCGTCGCCGCCGCCGCTCCGCCGCCGCCGTCGTCCTCCTCGCCGCTCCGTCGCGGCCGCTCCGTCGCCGCCGCCGCTCCGCCGCCGACGGTCGTGGGGCCCCATCATGGGCCCCAGGGGCCGAAGTCGGTGGAACCTCGCCCGGACTGAACACCACATTTGTTGACGGAGTTCTGAGAGGTTTGTGGATGGCCCTGTCGGGGGTGGACAGAAAGCCCACCCTGACACGTCGATTAGTGAATTGTTTGTTTTCGGTTCTCGAGAGGGCGCCGCGGCCGTCCTTTTCCATGCCTGAGCGCCAGGTTCGGGCCCGAGGTCGTTGCGTCGTCGTCGTCGGCGTTGGCGTCGTTTTCGTCGTTGTTGGCGTCGGCGTCGTTGGCGTCGTCGTCGTGCGGGGGTGCCGCGAGAGGGCCGCCAGGGATGCTTCGGAGGCAGCTCCTGGGCAGAGACAAAGTGAGCGGCCTGTTGGGCCATGTTGGGCCTCCTGGGGCCCTTGCCGGGCCTCAGAGAGCCCAAAAAGCTGAACTATCTGTTTGTAGGGAAACAAACAATGACATAAAGATGCAAACTCTGAGGACTGCGCGGATTTCTCGGATCCGCGCTGGACCCCCCTGGCGGCGCCTTTGGCGCCGCCCCTGGCGCGCTCCGCGCGGAAGGGGGTCCAGCGCCGATCCGAGAAGTCCGCGCGGACCTCCGAGTTTTCATGGTTATGTCATTCTTCGTTCTCCTAGTTTGGGCCATTTGCGGCCTCCGGGGGGCCCTCAACGGGCCGCGGGACCGTCAAAATCGGCTCCAGACCTCCGGGGGCCGCATGGAAAAAGTGGTTGGGGCCGTCGCCTTCCTTGCTGTCGCCCCTTGCTGGAATTACCGCGGGGATTGCTAAGTGGATCGGGGGGGTTCTATGCGGATGTCAAGGTGGTTATATCTTGCCTCAAGTGTTTCACAAGTGGGTTACATGTGCCCTAAGTGGCGTAGGTGTGGGACAGGCTCGGTGGGGACGCATCGACCCTCAATACCCCAATCGACTCCATTGATCGCAGATAGGGGCCCGATGGCCCATACCGCCTAGGAACGTCCAGTTTTGCCATCGAGGGCCCATCGCCGATCTGTCGGCGAGGTATAGCCGATTCAAGCTGGACCCCCTGGTTGTGTGCCCTCCCCCCCTCTACGGTGCCCTTCAGCCTACAGAGGCAGCCGAGAGCAGACCGAGATGGTCTGGGGCTGGTGGACCCTGCTCGTCTCTTGCTCTCTGGAGGATCTGCGCTTGAAGGCTCCTGGGCCCCCCTGACCCCGAGGATGGCGGGCCGAGGGGATCCGGGGAGGATGACTAGTACGTGCGTAGTACCCAGCAGTCGCGGATCAGAGTGAGGGTACGATAGGGACGTCGGCAGTGTGCGAGGCTCTGAAGAAGCCCGCCGCAGGCGCTTAATTTTTACAAAGTATTCAAGCAATGTGGGTGGGTCGCAAGGTGGGTCGTGGTTGGGTCGCGGGTGGAGGTGGGTCCCGGGCCGGGTCGCGGGCCGAGTCGCGGGTGGGTCGCGGGCTGGTCGCGGGTGGGTTGCAGGTTGGTCGCAGGGGGGTCGTGGGGTTGGTCTCGGGTGGGTCGCGAGTGTGTCGCGGATGGGACGACAACAAATAACAATAACAACAACAGCAGCAGCAGCAACAACAACAACACCAATCATTTTCCCTCATGCGCGATGTTTCCACACGAGTCATGCGACCGTCATGGTAACCATCCACGTAATGGGTGACTCTTGTTCTATAGCGGGGTCCTTTATTAATCGCTTCGCTCATTCCGCCGGCCCTCGAGCGCTCTATGGGGCCTCTTTGAAGCCTCTTGGGGGCCTCTTTGGGGCCTCCTAGGGGCCTCTTGGGGGCCTCTTGGTAGTCTCTTGGGGCTCCTTGGCGGCGTCTTGGGCCCCCCTTAGGCCTCTTGGGTGGTTCTTGGGGGCCTCTTGGGGCGGGGTAGTCGAGTGCACCCCCCTCGGAGGCCATGATCCTCGTGAGGGGTGTCGAAAAAAGGCCCTCAAAACCATCTCTGATCCGACCCTGCCGGGGATCGCCCGGGGTACTTTTCGCCGGGGGACCCCCAGGGGCCGCCCCGCGCGCGCGAACTAGAAGTATTTTTTAGCAGTTACCGGAGATCTTAGCACGCCTCTGGCCCGTTGGGCCGGCGAATTCCCATTCCCAGATCTCCCGCCCAATGAGGTCTTGCAAACAAACACCTCCGAGGAATTTCAACATATCCCGCCTCGAAGACACATGCCCGCACCTTGCTGCGCCGATGCGAGACCGCCAGTGGAACCCCAGCGAAGGGTAAAGCACAAGGAAGTATCGCACGGCAGGATTGCCTTGGTGGGGATGGGGGCAGTCGGCGGTGAGGCAAGGACCTGGCCCTGAACAAAAAGGGAGGAAGTCTCGTGCAGGGCTGCTGTTGTTGTTGGGAGCGGCGCCAATGCTGAAGAGAGTAGGGCGCTAGTCCAGCGTAAACCAACACGAAGTCTCGAGCGGGAACGCTGGTTTTGTTGGGACGGCGGCTTTCGGCGGCGAGGAGGAACACCGCCTTAAGTAAGAAAGGGGGAAGCATCGAGCGGGAGCCGCGGTTTTGTCGGGACGGGGGCTGTCGGCGGCGAGGAACAACAGCACCGTCCCGAGGAAAAAGAGAGGAATCCTCGAGCGGGAGCGATGTTCTTGCTGGGAGCGGCGCCAATTCAAAAGAGAGTAGGGCGCCAATCCAGCGTAAAACGGAAGGAGGTCTCTGGCGGGAGCGCTGGTTTTGTCGGGGCGGCGGTTTTCGGCGGCGAGGAGGAACACCGCCTTTAGCAAGAAAGGGGGAAGCATCGAGCGGGAGCCGTGGTTTTGTCGGGACGGGGGCTGTCGGCGGCGAGGAACAGCACCGTCCCGAGGAAAAAGAGAGGAATCCTCGAGCGGGAGCGATGTTCTTGCTGGGAGCGGCGCCAATTCAAAAGAGAGTTGGGCGCCAGTCCAGCGTAAAACGGAAGGAGGTCTCTGGCGGGAGCGCTGGTTTTGTCGGGGCGGCGGTTTTCGGCGGCCAAGACGAGCACCGTTTTGGGTAAAAAAAGAAGGAAGCCTGGAAGGGGGGCGTTGTTTTTGCTGGGGGCGGCGCCGATGAGAGAAAGACTAGCGCGCCAGTCCAGGGTAAAACGGAAGGAAGTCTCGCGCTGGTTGTGTTAAGACGGTGGCTGTCGGCGGCGAGCAAGAGCACCAGCCCTGAGTAAAAAAAAGGAAGTCTCGAGCGGGAACGTGATTGCGGTTGTTGTTGTTGTTGTCGTTGTTGTTGTTATTGTTGTTGTTGTTGGTGGTGTTGGTGTTGTTGTTGTTGTTATTGTTGTTGTTGTAGTTGTTGTTGTTGTTGTTGGTGTTGCTGTTGTTGTTGTTGTTGTTTTGGTTTTTGTTGTTGTTGTTGTGGTTGTTGTTGGTATTGGTGTCGTTGTTGTTGGTGGTGGTGGTGTTGTTGTTGTTGTTGTTGTTGGTGTTGTTGGTGCTGTTGGTGCTGTTGTTGTTGTTGCTGTTGCTATGGTTGTTGTTGCTGTTGTTGCTGTTGTTATGTTGCTGTTGTTGTTGCTGTTGCTGTTGTTGTTGCTGTTGTTGTTGTTGTTGGTGGTGGTGGTGGTGTTGTTGTTGTTGTTGTTGTTGTTGTTGTTGTTGTTGTTGTTGTTTGGGGACTGGTTTTGGCGGTCCCCCAAACCGCTCAAGCGCCAGCCCCACTTTTAATGAACATGTAGCCAGCGCCTCGGCGAGAGCGGCAGAGCGCCTTTAAGGTGTCCAACAATCATAATTGTTTAGAATTAGCATTCACAGAAACAGTAACAACAATCATTTTAAATACGGTTCGCCCTTATCTGCTCGAGTGTCTAATAACGCGTATTTCCCAAACCCTCGATACCCGCCTTGTGGGGGTATACCTTTTTTCCTGCAGGCCGGGCTCCGGCAAGCGGCACGGCGGCCGCGGACCGTCGGCCTGGCCAGCGGCAGCGCTGATCGGCGGGGCGGCCGCGGACCGTCGACCTGACCCCAAGAGGGACGGACAGGGGACCGACCACGACGACGACGACGGCGGCGGCGGCGACGACGACGACGAGCGAAAGCGAGAGCGAGAGAGAACGATCGCAGGGCCACAAGGACACGAAGTAGGCCACGAACGACGACAGCGGGGGCACGAATGGAATGCGTATGGGGCCACGAAGAGCGCGAACGAGCGGGGGCCTTGAAGGGCTGATAATGCGGGGCCACAGAAGGCAACGATGGGGCCACTGAGGGTAGCAACTGGGCCACGTAGGACAGTGAGGGGGCCATAAACGGCGACAGCGGGGCCACGAAGTGCATGCACATGGGGCCACAATTATACTGGGCCGCGGAGGGCAATGACGGGGCCACTGATGGCAGCAACGGGGCCACGAAGGGCAGCGAGGGGGGCACGAAGGGCGACAGCGGGGCCACGATGGGCATGCATATGGGGCCACCACGGGCGCGAACGAGCGGGGGCCACGAAGGGCATACATATATGGGGCCACGAATGGATGCAACGGGGCCACGAAGGGCAGCGATGAGGCCACGAGGGGCTGCAACGGGGCCGCGAAGGGCAGCGAGTAGGCCACGAGGGGCAGCGAAGGGGCCACGAAGGGCTGCACCGGGGCCACTAAACAAAGCGAGGGGGCCACGAAGGGCTGCAACGGGGCCACGAAGGGCAGCGATGAGACCACGAGGGGCTGCAACGGGGCCGCGAAGGGCAGCGAGTAGGCCACGAGGGGTTGGAACGGGGCCACGAAGGGCAGCGAGGAGGCCACGGAGGGCTGCAATGGGGCCACGAAACAAAGCGAGGGGGCCACGAAGAGCTGCAACGGGGCCACGAAGGGCAGCGAGATCCCGATTCCCAGTTAATGTGTGAGGGAGTCTTAAGCGTGAGCGCGACTCTTGTGTGCCTGGGTGTCGGGAACGCGGCGCTGTATACAATTGCAGGAATTTCTAGACTCCTTCGCGTATCCCCACCAGCCCATCCAGAAACGATGCCCAGGAAAGCTGACGAAAGAACAAATAATATACTCACATAGTGAACCGGAGCGGGCAACACCGGTGAATTGGGAGAGCTTTTGCGGCGAAGGTTGCAAGTGTTATTGCTGGTGCTCTTGCTCCTGCTGGTACTGCTGCTGCTGTTGCTGGTGCTCGTGCTGCTGCTGTTGTTGCTGATGGTGCTGGTTCTCGGATGATGAGTGGACGGGTAAGGGGGGAGGAGGAGGAGGAGGAGGAGGAGGAGGAGTAGGAGGAGGAGGAGGAGGAGGAGGAGGAAAGGAGGAGGAGACGAAGAAAAAAATGACAAGGAAAAAGAGGAGGAAACAGGTCGGACATATGATCTTTTTATGATGTTGTTGGAAACCTTTTGGAGCGTCTGGGGGGGATCGTGGGGGATTCGGGGATCCTCGTGAAGCCTCTTCGGGTCTCTTGGAGGTCTCTTGAATGCCTCTCGGAGCCCCTTGGGATATCTCGTAGGCGGTTGTTTTGAAGCCTCTTGGGACGTCTCGGGGGTGCCTTGGCGGTCCTGAGGACTCTTGGGCGTCTTGGGTGCCTCGGGGAGGCCGCTTGGGGTCCTCTTGGGGGTCTTTTGGGGGTCTTTTGGGGGTCTCTTGGGGCCATTTTGGGGTTTTCTTGGGGCCATCCTGGGGCCTCTTGGGGCCTCCTGGGCGCCTCTTGGGCCCGTATGGGCTCCTTTGGGGGCCTTGTCGGGGCGGTCTTGGAAGCTTTAGGGGCTCTTTTGGGGCCATCTTGAATGATATCGGTCAACGAAAGGGGGTTCCTCAATTACGCCCCCCCCCCCCCCCCGGAGGCCAACATGGGGCCACAACCCTGGTAAAACCAATGATTTGTGCTTCCTCGCCGAGGCCGTTTTGGACGCTCCGACACCTCGCGGAACCCGTTGTCCAGGTCCATGGAGAGGGGATAGGGGGAGGGGTAAACCCCTCCCCGAAGGGGAAGAAGGAGGGGTGGAAGAGGAAATTCCCTAAACCACCGACGCCCAGAGGGCTGGTGGGACTCCAACGCAAGGGCGCTATTATTCAGTAAATTGCAAGCAAGCCTCCAGCGAAAGCGCGACTCCAGAGCGCTGGGAGAGCGACTCCTGAACACATTGTAAGGACGTCCCAAGCGAGAGCGCGATTCCTGAATATGATGCAAGGAAGTCTCGGGCGGGAGTGGGGCCTAAATTGTGAGGAAGTCTCAGGCGGGAGCCGTTGTTGTTGTAACCCGGGGGGCCAGGGGCACATTTTGAGCCTCAAGATTTTGCCTGATAAAAACAACAGGGTGCGAGCGTCGAGGGGCACACTTTGATCGAGAAAAAGCAGTATGCACCGGCGGGGGGGATCAACACTAATTATTCTTCAGAGGTGAGAGTTCAACATCAACAATACCAACTACAACAGCACCATCAACACCAACAACAACAACAACAACATCAGCAACAATTGCAACATCAACCACAACAACATCATGAACGTCAACATCGACACAACAACAGCAACGCGAACAGCGACAATGGCAACAGCAACAGGTCCAGCAACAACAGCAACATCAACAACAACAGCATCACCAACACCAACAGCATGATGGGACAGTTGTCCACCATCGCTACCATATGTAGGACGGGGGGAAAGGGAGAATGCAGAGGTTCTCCTCCTCCTGCTTCTCTTGCATATGGTGATGGTGGTGGATAATCCGCCCATCACAACAACACAAGCAGCAGCAGTTCCAGCAGCAACAACAACAGCAACAACGACAAGCAAGCAAGCAAGCAAACAAACACACAAACAACGAGAGTCCGCATCGCGGAATCCCACTTCATCCACGCACCCAGGGACAGTCAATGACCGTGCGGCCCTCTCGCTCTGATCTGTGGCACGCGCGTCGTGTTTTTTTTTTTTTTGTTGTGTGTGTGTGTGTGTGTGTTTTTCACGAAGTGTGACTGCTAACTGCTCAATCGCCACTTGCACAGAAGACCCAGATGGGTCTCTAGCAGCAACGCGCTGATGGGATCGTCCGTCTGGCGTGGCACTGAGATTGGCACCGTTACTGCTCTCCGATACTTGCGTGCGGTGTTTCGCCTGAGGAACGCACCGCGTGGATCAGGGCGCTTGGATTAGCGACGGGTCCCGGTTACATTCGAATCGACGGGCTCCGCTGTCAAATGAGGTGGCACTGGCTTCACGTTTAAGGGGTACCTTCATCGATTCGTGGATCTGGCGCCCTTGCTCCAGCTGCACGGATCTGTAATCATTTGTTAGTGTTTGCCCGATTCTCGCCCTCGTCGCCGTCGCCATCCTTCTCCTCTCGCCGTCGCTATCCTCCTCCTCTACCTCGAGGTCGAGGGCTTGCATCCTGGGTCTTCGGCCTTCCTTTCGGAGTTGTGCAGGGATCGGGGATCTTCGATGTCGCCCGAGGATGGTGCCCGCGCTGTTTAAACACAAAGCACCCCGAGGTCGGGCGGCGCGCTCCCCGCGCGGACCCGTGCCGCGGGCCCCTCGCTCACTGCGTCGCTGAAGGAGGAGGAGAATCTGCCGGTGCCCGAGGGCGGCGAGATGGAGGACCCGGGAGGGAGGGGCAGCGCTCCCAGGCCCCCCTCGATCGTGGGCCCCCAAACGGGGTGGTGACCACACCGTGCGGTGAGTCGGTGGGGATTCGAGGTCATCGCACGGTTTTGGGACTCGGGTCGTTCTCCGAGTATGTCTCGGGCGACAGGGGCCTCTGGGGTCCCAAGACCGTGCGGTGACGGACCGTGCGGTGAGGTCTTGAGGGATTTCGAGGTCACCGCACGGTCTGTCACCGCACCGTTACGGGACTCTAAACTCGTGTCGCGAGGCAATCACGAAAGAAGGTGGTTCACTGTTTCCCGCCTCCGGGGGCCCTCGCCTGGCCTCGGGACCAGCAAGCAGCGACTCGGGATGAAAAGACCGGTGATCCCGGGAAGGGGTCGAGACCTCTAGGAGTCGGCGTCATGGAGCAAGCGCGACGTCTGGGGGGCGACGTTAGGGGGGTTAGCTCGCGCAGGGGAGGGGGGTCGAAGTGTTGTTCGAATCTCTTTCGGGATTTTCGAGGTCTTGAGTGGATTCCATCACCTGCGCCTCGTCGAGAGCGCTCCAGGGTTGCCGGAATCGTTCCGAACTTCTGTCAGATGGTCCCGGAAGCCACGTCAGAGGGGATCCGCTTCGGAGGGGCCGCATTGGCACCCATTCGCGCATCCGTCGCCGCGATATGGGCCCGATGGCCCACGCGCCCAGGCACGTGCGGAAGTGCCGTCGGGGACTTGCCGTTGGCTCAGCACTGCTCAGCACTGCTCAATCGGCTATGTATCGCCAAGGCGAGGTCGACGTCTTCCCCCCCCCGAGCTGGGTCCTCCCCGGTCGTTCCCCCTTCCAGGGAGGCGCCGAGCGCAGACTTTTGCCGATCTTGGCCTGGCCAGCCCTGACATCCTAACGTCGTGAGGAAAGCACGACGGCTTCCCAGACATGATCGCGTCGTAAAAGAATCAGGACAGGAGGTTTTTGGTACATTTTCGGCCCCAGGGGGCCCTCGCGGGACCTCGGGACGGTCAAAAACGACTCAGGACGACAAATCGGTCCCTGGGAAAGGGTCGGGACTTCCAGGGACGCCGTCCTGAAAAAGTCAGGACGTCGCATGTTGGGTTTTTGTGTACGAATCTCGCACTCTGTGGGGGGCCACATGCGAACCCTACCCCTACCCCTCACGATTTCTGAGGGGGAGGGTGGGGTTCGCATGTGGCCCCCTGAGGACAGGGCCCTGGGACCCTGAGAGAACGATGCAGGACGAGGACAGCCGGGCGCCTGGAAGGGGTTCAGACTTCTGGGGAGCCGCGCTGCGGGAAAGCGGCGCGACGCCGGCTGCCTGGGAAGCCTGGGCCCAGGCCCAGGATCGTTGCGCACGCCTTCTGGCAAGCCCAGGGAGCGTCCATACTACAGTCGGGGCCCTGAAGAAGGAACCCTTTTGGTTGGGGAGGGGCTCCGCGTTCCTTAAGTCTTTCACAGCTTGCCTCAGGTTTTCCTTATGTTTTCGACAGGAAATCGAAGTTTAACTTATGGAATAAAGGGGCCTCGTTCCTTATTTAGGGATCCTTAGGTCAACGCCCCGACGGTATCACCGTTCCATGGGGGAGTCCCAGGACGGGCTCCGCCGGGGCCGGCGCGGGAGCCTGTATATAGCCGGTACCTTCAGGAGGGCGTCGAGTACAAGGTCGAGGGTGGGTGGTTCATGCAGATGGACCACATACCCAATGCGAACCTTTGCATGGCGCTGTGCCAGGCGCAGCCGAAGTGCGACACCTTCACGTGGGTGAAGGACGCTCTGGACGACGGCTGCCCCAGCCAGTGCTGGCTGAAAGGCGGGGAGCCAAGCTACACCGAGGACCAACGGTTGACCAAAGAGCCGCTCCGAGCAGTCTTTTTCGTCAAGCTGCCGCTCCGCTTTGACCGTTGGGCTCCCGCCCCGGGCCAATCGCGGCTCCAGAGGTCTGCCGTGAGAGCCGTCTCCTGGGCCGTCCCCTTGGATCGCTTCTGCCCGCGAGCGGAAACTCTGAGGAGGAACGTGGGCGCTGTTCCCAGGCTCTCGACGACATGATCCGTATTAGCATGAACCTCCAGGGGTCGGGACCCCCTGGCCAGGGGCCGGATCTACGGCAGATGCTGAGTCGTTGTTTGGCGGTCCCGAGGCCGAGGAAGGGCACAAGGAGGCCGAACATGGCGAAACGAAGCCGCTGTGTTTTTTCTCAGGCGCCGGGGGGTTAGCTGGGTTTTGATTGAGCCTCTTTCCTGGACGCCCGAAATGGGTACGGAAAGAATGGGTACACTGCTCAACAGCAGTTCCTGTTCATTTTGAACACGATCCGCTGTCCACGCCGCCTCGGCCTGTGTCCATTCGAGACAGAAGGCCGCCTGCCCAACAGCGGCCGCTGTTGGTTTGGGACAACATTTGCTGTTGGGCATTGTACCCATTTTTTCGGTACCCATTTCGGGCGTCCAAGTCTTTCCAAGGAGAAAAAGGGGGTGGTCTCAGGTAGACCCCCCCCCAGGAGGGCGCTGCCGAAGCTGCCCGTCGCCAAAGGCGGGCCCACCCTGTTCTGCTGGGCGCTGACGATGCCGGAGGGCAACGAGCCAGACTTGCTGAGGCACGGGGAGGAACTGACGGCAGACCCCTCGTGTTTCGAAGTTCTGCGCGGATGTCTTGGGTCGGCGCTGGGCCTCCCTGGCGGCGCCTCGGGCACCACCCTTGGCGCGCTCCGCGCGCTAGAGAGTGGGGCCCGACGCTGACCCAAGACATCCGCGCGGCACAGCGAGCAATCATGCTCATGCAGTTGTGTGTTCGTCTCGAGGTGGCAGGCCGAACGCAACGCAGGGCCCTTCGCTTGCGAGGAGGTCGCACTGTACAGCAAGGAGGAGGTGGACATCGGGTGCTACAAAACACGCGTCATCGAGAGCGACATGAAGTGTAAGAACGGGGGTGACTCGGGTACTGCCCTCAACTCGTGGATCTTCATAGCAGCGTGGCTGGCTGTGGTTGAGGACGGCGACTACAAGAAAGCGGACTGGACGGTCAAGGCCGACCCCGACGCTGTGTTCTTCGCAGATAGGTTGAAGGCCGTCGTGTCAAACTACGAGGGGACTGGGTACCTCAGCAACTGCAAGTTCGGCCTCCACGGCCCCATCGAGGTGTTCAGCAGGGCCGCGATAGAGGCCCTCCACGAGGACTACCAGAAGAGCTGGGACAAGAAGTCGCCAGGGAGCTGCGTAGAGGGGCTGCACTTCGAGGAGTGGGGCGAGGACATGTTCATCGACCAGTGCCTGAACAAGGTCCTCAAGGTCGGCGAGCCCCCTGTGGAGCCGATGCTCATGTGCGAGGACCACTGCGACTGCAAAGGCTGGTGGTGGTGCCCCGCCAGCGACTCTCAGCGGGTCAGCTTTCACCCCTTCAAGTCGCCTGAGGACTACAAGAACTGCCTGGCCAACGCGTTGGACGGCCCCTTGGCTTCTGAAGCCGACGATGTAAAGCCCGACGGCGACAGCTGTGGACAGGGCGGCGGCGGGAACGACGATGCAGAGGACGAGGACGAGGACGACGCCGCTGAGGAGGACAACGCGGAGGCCAGCAGCACCAGCGTGTCCCGGGAGGCCGGCAGTGCAGCTAAGATCTCAAACGCGGCGAGACATGATCCGAGGCGGGGATCTATCCATCACCACCGCAAGGGGAGTGGATCTTCGGGGGCCGTGGCTTGCGGATACAGGTGAGGGGGCGGCGGGGTCGTCGGCACCTCGCGAGGCTCTGCAGAAGCCTAATGCAGGCACCCAACACTCGTCAAAGCAATGGGTCGCGGATGAGGGAGAAGGAGGAGGGGGGAGGGAGGGCGGAGGAGGGGGAGGAGGGGGAGGAGGAGGACGAGGAGGGGGAGGAGGAGGACGAGGCGGAGGAGGAGGAGGAGGAGGAGGAGGAGGAGAAGGAGGAGGAGGAGGAGGTGGATCGCGGTTGGGTCGCGGGTGGGTCGCGGGTGGGTCGCGGGTGGATCGCGGTTGGGTCGCGGGTGGGTCGCGGGTGGGCCGCGGGCGAGGACGACGACAACGACAGCAACACAACAGCAGCTACAACAGCAACGCCAACAGCAGCAGCAACACCAGCAACAGCAACATTAATTTCACAATTGTTCGCTCTCAGATGCTCGCGTGTCAACCATCATGATCTCTCAGACATTTGATGTCTGCTTTCTTCGTCTTTGATCGAACTCCTTGTGAGGGGGATCTCTTCCTTCCCTGCCACGTTTCATTGGCGAAGCTCCAAAAACAATAATAACATAGATGATGGAAACTGGAGAGCGCGAGGCGGAAGGGGTTGGGAGAAGGGAGAAAGGAGGAAAGGGGGCAAGAGGGAAGGAGCGATGGAGGACGAGATGGATTCAGCAAGAGGGCTTAGCACGATGGGGATGGCAAAGAAGTCTCATGCGAGAGCCCGGTTTCTGAGTAACTTTTGAGGAACTGCCGAGCGAGAACGAGATCCCAAAGCACCGAGTTGGCGATTCGCGATTACATTACAGGGACGTCTTCAGCGCGAATGCCATCCTTGAAACAATGCATGGAAGTCTAGAGCGGGAGCGCGATTCTTCAATTCAATGTGCGAGGGTATCAGGCTGGAGTCGTTGTTGCTGTAGTTCGGGGGCCAGGTGCCAAATCTGAGGCTCAAGACTTCCCCTTGGGATGCGAGCCCAGGGATGGGGAACTTCGATCGAACAATCTTTTTCCCGTCGGCGGCCAGGCAGAGTCACTGCGCTGGCGACGAAGCAAAACGGGGCTGCCGTTGAGCGAACTGTGCCACCATGCAGGAGGGGGGGGGGAGACCACGACGCGACGGCCGAAGCGGAGGAGGAGCGGGCCGGGGCCGCTCAGGGGAACGGGTCGCTCCTCGGGGCGCGTGGCGCTGCCGTCACCGCTGCGGGGCCAGCAGCAGCAGCGGGGCTGGGGGGGCCAGCGGCGGCAGGAGCAGAGGCTGATCAGGCCCGCGGGCAAGGGTACATGTGCCGTACAGCCCAGGAAGCGCCAGTGCCCCAAGGACGGGGACGGCGAAGCCCACCTGCAAAGGGCGAAGCGGGGCGGGGGAAGGCGCGGGCGGCAAGACGAGCCCGGGTGCCAGGGGCGGAGAGGCTGGCGGCCAGCAAACCGAGGAAGCGCGCGCGAACCGCTGACGACCGTGTGGGAAGCGCAGGGCGCGTCGAGGGGGAGGGCCACGAGGGCGGGCACCGAGCAGGCGCAGTCACGGCGCGCACGGGCCCCCCCGCCGGGGTGGGCAGGGTGGGCCCGCCGGGGGGGAAAGCCACGGCCTCAGTGGTGGGCGCGCGCTCCCGGAGGCCCGGCAGGGGCAGGGGAGCACGAGCACCCACGAACCCAGGCGGGGAAGCGGCACGGGAAAGGAAAAGAGGAAGCCCTGAGCGCGCCCCCGCCGCGTCGAGCAAAGCGGCGGAGATCCATCGAACAGACACAAGTGCACCGCATGGGGGGACCGACCATAGGATCTCAAACAGTTAGACAGCAGCAACACCAATAGACACACAACCAATCATGTTAAGACCGTTCGCTTTTTATCTGTTCGCGCGCAATACAAATATCTCAAACCCTCGATACCCGCCCTCTTAGGGGTATCTGTGTCTTACTTGCAACGTGCATGTCATGCAGCCCCTCCTGAGGCAGGGGAAGAGGGGACGGATGGCGGGAAGGGACAAGGGGCAGAGGGGTTGCTGCAGCGTGCGTCCTGCATGAATCGACAGGAGGTCTCGAGCGATAGTGCGGTACCCAAATAGATCGTGAGGAAATCCACAGCGAGACCGTGATTCCTGAGTGTCGAGGGCGTGGCGTTAACACAGCTAGCGAGGAAGTGCCATGCGAGAGCGCGTTCGCTGTATACATGATCAGGAAGTCCCCCGCGAGAGTGCGATTTGGGAGTACAATGTGAGGAAGTATCAGGCATGAGACGCTGTTGTTGTAAACCGGGTGCCAGGGGCACAGTTTGGTGGTATTCCATTTTCCCTTTAAAAAGCAGGGTGCGAGCCCAAGGATAAGCGTTTTCGTTCATTGAAAATTCGAAGGGTTACCGGGGAGGGGGGATCAACAATATTTATTCTTGAGAAATGAGCGCTTAACAACAAGACCACCAGCACCAACACAAACAACAACAACAACAACAACAACAACAACAACAACAACAACAACAACAACAACAACAACAACAACAGCAGCAACAACAACAACAATACCAGTAACAACAACAACAGCAACAACAACAACCACAACAACACCACCAACAACAACAACACCAACAACAACAACAGCACCAACAGCACCAACAACAACAACATCAACAACAGCAACAACACCAACAACAACACCACCAACAACAACACTAACAACAACAATACCAACAACCACAATACCACCAACAACAACGCCAACAACAGCACCAACAACAAGAGCAGCACAGCAACGACGACGACGACAACGACAAGGACACGGACAACGACAACAACATGCACAATAGCAACACCAACAACACACACAACACCAATCCTCACCGCGGAACCACACATTAGCCACGCGCCCAGGAACAGTGAATAATCGTTCGGTCTCCTCAGTCTGATATCTATATTCACCGCCTGCCCTGGCTCCCAAAGATCGGTTTGCTGGCAAAGGCTATGGGCAGGTCCCCGTCTCGCACATCGGGTGTTCGATTGCGCGCGCACCCGTGAGCTGCCCGCGTCAGGTCGCGCGTGACCCGCCTTCTTGGTTCCGCGTGATGTGCCGCATGGGCCGTCTGAACGAGCCGCCGCGTCAGGTCACCGCGCCCTCGTGCGCAAGAGCACCCTTTTTATCATTTTTGCCGCTAACCTTGGGTCCCCCTTTCTCCCGTGTCCTCCTCTCTCCCCTCTCCCCCCTTGGCCCGCCCACCTTCTCTATCGCGGTCGCAGGAGCTTCCCTCCCCGCCCGTCTGGACGGGTGCCCTCGGGCACCAGACCCCTTGTCTCCGAGTCCCTCACGCACGGCCCCCCTCTCTGAGTCGCTGGCAATGTCCCGCTTCCCTGTGGAAGCAACCGCTCGCTCCCCCACCCCGTCTCTCCGCCAGATGAGTCGTCAGCGCGCCCGGGTTCCCTCGTCGCCCCTCCCTCCCTCCCCCCCTCCCCGTCGAGCAGTGTGCGCCCGTCGCTGCTGACTGGTTCCTCCCGTACCTCCCGCACATCCCCCACGCCCCTCCCCTCCTCTGGGGCAACGCTACGGGGGGACAAGCTCAGGGGGGGGAGCATCGACCCCCAATCGCCCAGTGCTCGCCGATTATCTGAGGCCTATCGTCGACCTATCGGCGATGCATCGCCGACTAGTGGTCGATGTTTCTCACCCTTGGCTGTTCCCCGCCTGGCTTTCCCCCTCACTCATTCCCTCCCTCCTCCCTACCTCACACCTCACGACGTGCACCCTCGTGAATCTCAAATTCTTAGCTTAGACGTCCGACAATCTGATTTTTGTTCAACGCACGGCCCCAGCAGCCCCGACACTTTCCCTAGGGCCAGTTTCACGCTGCGGACCCAATCTTGATGGCCCTGGGGCCCAGAAGCGGCCCCCGGATGCCGAAATCTAGGAAGGACGCCCAAATCGAAAACACGATAGCGCCAGAGGCTCTGGGAACGACCTCCTCCCCCTCCCTTCATGCCCCCCCTCCGCCCCCCCTCCCAGGCATCCGGGGCGCTCCCGCGGCCCCCTCCCCCCCCCGGTGGCCCGAAGTCCCTCCCGGACCTGTCCAGGGGTGCGGTCGTCGAGGGCCCCCCAGCGGCGCAGCGACCACAACGCGTGGTGAGCCAGTGGGGGCCCCGGGTCACCGCACGGCTTTGGGACGGAGTCGGTTCGTTTTCCGAGGAGGCCTCGTGGGGACCGGGGCCTCCAGGATCCCCAAGCCGTGCGGCTGTTGGGCCCCCGAAGTTTTGGTCAGGACTTTAACGCGAATCCAGCTGTGGCCACGAGGGCTTCCCAGGAGGCCAAAAGACGGCCAAGAGCGCTCCTCGCATCTTTGTTTTTTTTCGCGACGCCCCCCCCCCAGGCATGCGGAGTCCTGTGTTTTTCAATGCGCGGTCTCCGACAGTCCCAACCCTTTCCCGCGGCTCTTCATCCCGAGTGGTTTTTGATGATCCCAGGGCCTGGCGGAGGGGCCCCGGGAAACCAAACACGGTCCAGAACCTCCCGCGGTTCGTGGCTGTCTTGCGGCCCGCCAAGATCCTCGGTGGTCTTTGCGCACCCACCCTCCCCTCCCCTCCCGCCCCACCTCACGCCGTGCGGCGTCGTTCATCCCCATGTCCTTCACGACCTCCTCAGGGTCCATTTCGATCCGATCGCTCCAAGTCGGTATCGGTTCCAGCTGGCCCGATCTGATTCGATTTTGATATTCTGGCGATCTCATGCGGCCGATGCTTGCGTGGCGCTATTGTGCATCCCGGCGCAGCCGATCCGATTCGATTCTGAGTCCGTGCCGATGCGGCCCGATTTGATGCACGTTCTGATCCAGTCCGACTTGTCGATGCGATCTTGGTTTTTCCTGCCTTCCCGCTCCCTTTCTTCTGTGGTCCTTCAGGGGAGCCTCAGGGGGTCCACAAGGTCCAGTTTCGACATTACCTTCCAGGGCCCTTGCATCCTTCTCGCGCATCTTTCCTGCGGCAGGTTCGCGTCGTGCCGACCGGCGGCAACCCCCGCGCGGGCGTTGAAGGTTGAACGCCGCCCGTGGCCCAGACTCCGGCCCGTCGTTGAACGATCCCGCATTCACGAAACGGCCGATCGTTCAAGTTTGAACGGAGAAGGAGGAGGAGGAGGAGGAGGAGGAGGAGGAGGAGGAGGAGGAGGACGCCAGGGACGACACGACGCGAATTTGCCGTGCTATGCGGGTTGACTAGAGGCAGAGGCTCCCGCGAGGGCTCACCGCTCCCTCCCCCGGGAGCCCCCGGTGGCCTTCGCGCATCCCCCCCCCCCGCCCCCTGGCGGCCGCTCCTCCTCCGCCTCCTCTCCTCCTCCTCCTCCGCCCTCCTCCTTCTCCTCCTCCTCCTCCCTCCCCCTCCTCCTCCTCCTCCTCCTCCTCCTCCTCCTCCCCCTCCTCCTCCTCCTCCTTCTCCTCCTCCTCCTCCTCCTCTTCCTCCTCCTCCCTCCCTCCGCTCCCCAGGTCGTGTGCTGCCAGGAGTGCCCCCCGGCCCAAGGTGCCCCTGGGATTTCAAGGGAGGCCCCCACTGGGGGAAAGAAACATACAATTAAAAATAAAAACTCGGAGGTCTGCGCGGATTTCTCGGATCCGCGCTGGACCCCCCTCCCTGGCGCGCGGAGCGCGCCGGGGGCGGCGATGGAGGCGTTGCCAGGGGGCCCCAGCGGCGATCCGAGACATCCGCGGGGACCTCCGAGTTTCTATTCCCAACCCTCCTGTGTGGGGTACTCGTTTTGAATCGAGCACTGTGGTCTCCACCTTTCTCTTCTCCTCCCCCGCCTCCTCCTCCTTCTCCTCCTCCTCCTCCTCCTCCTCCTCCTCCCCCTCCTTCCTCCCTGCATTCTCCTCCTCGTCTTCTTACTCCTCCTCCCTGCCTCGTGACCTCGACGTCCCCTGGGGGGCTGCGATCTGCAAAACTGTCGCCACTTTCGTGGACTCCTGGGAGGGCCAGCGGAGATACGTTATACGCAGATCACGAGGAGACCTCGCCGTCCCCTGGGTGGTTGCGATCTGCGGAACTGGTACCACTTCCGTGTGCGCCTGGGGGGCCCAGCGGAGGCACGTCCTACGCGGATCATCACGAGACCTCGCCTTTCCTGGGGGCTGCGATCTGCGAAATTGTCGCCACTTTCGTGGGCGTCTGGGAGGGCCAGCGTAGGTGCGTCATACGCAGATCACGAGGTCTCGCCGTCCCCTGGGTGGCCGCGATCTGCGAAACTGTCGCCACTTTCGTGGGCTCCTGGGAGGGCCAGCGGGGGTACGTCCTACGCCTCCTTCGCGGATCACCACGAAACCTCGTCGTTCTTGGGGGGGGGCTGCGATCTGCGAAACTGTCGCCGCTTTCGTGGGCTTCGGGAGGGCCAGCGGAGGTACGTCCTACGCGGATCACCACGAGGTCTCGCCGTCCCTTTGGTGGTTGCGATCGGCGGAACTGTTGCCACTTTCGTGGACTCCTGTGAGGGCCAGCGGAAGTACGTTATACGCAGATCACCAGGAGAACTCGCCGCCCCTGGGGGCCTGCGATCTGCGGAACTGTCGCTACTTTCGTGGGCTCTTGGGAGGCCCAGCGGAGGTACGTCCTACGCGGATCACCACGAGACTTCGCCGCCCCTTGGGGCAGGCTGCGATCTGCAAAATAGCCATCATTTTCGTGGGCCCCTGGAAGGGCCAGCGTAGGTGCGTCATATTCAGATCACGACGAGACCTCGCCGCTCCCTTGATGGCTGCGATCTGCGAAACTGTCGCCACTTTCGTGGGCGTCTGGGATGGCCAGCGGAGGGACGTCTTACGCGGATCACCACGAGGCCTCGCCGCGCCCTGGGGGGCGGTTGCCTGAGAAATTGTCGCCACTTTGGTGGACTTCTGGAAGGGCTAGCGGAGTGACGTCATACGCGGATCACCACGAGGCCTCGCCGCACCCTGGCGGGCTGCGATCTGCGAAGTTGTCGTTGCTTTCGTGGGCGTGTGGGAGGGCGAGCGGAGTGACGTCTTACGCGGATCACCACGAGACCTCGCCGCCCCCTGGGGGGTTGCGATGGGCTTCTGGGGGGGGCCAGCGGAGTGACGCGGCGTGCGCGAGCGCCGCGCAGCAAATAGCGCAAGGCGCTGCCCGTTGCCCATGCCGCATCCCTTGTTCAGCTGCGTGTTGATCGGAACGCATGCGGGCACACGCTACGTGTAGCGCAAGTCGCTGTGCTGTCATAGCGCGCCGAGCGTTGGCCTGCAATGCGAACACGACGCAGGCGCCGCTATTTCCAAGACTTATGGCTCCAATCGATCCTCTTCCACAGATTTCCACGCCCCCTCGTTGTCGCTTTCCTGCCAAGGACCCGACTCTTAAGAGTGACGCCGCATATAGGAAATATCTGATTATAGCCTGACGTTCTTTGGCAAAGCGTTCGAGGGCAATGCGGGTCATTCAAAGATTGCTGGTGCGCTGAGCGATCCAGTGTATACTCGCCACATGCTTAGACAGGTACGTGTACGTCGCCGGGTTATGTTTATGCCACTGTTGGTTCCCCATGTCTTCGGCCTCCAGTCGCCGAGCGCGTTCTACGACCCGCAAAGGGCCTACTCGCAAACGTCAGAACAAACAAAAACATGGTTTCCCCCAGGTGGTGTATTATAACTCGCCCGCGGTGGATCCGGGCCATTTGCGAGTAGTAACGTTGCGAGTAGTGGAACGCGCTTGTCCTTCTAGAGCACCCCTCACGAGGCCCAGGGGGCCTAAGGGGCTCCAGCATGAATGGGGCGAGAGGCTGGGGGCGCCCTGGGCCAGGGGCACTCTGAGCAACCCCCTGCAGCCAACCCGCCCCGTAGGGATACGCAGTTCTCCAAGGCTGCCCTGGCGTCGTTCCCCTTCGGCCCGTCCCTGGCCGCTTTGGCCGGCCGCGCCCCGCGCCGCAACGTGGCGGCATGGCCTTTTTGTCAGGCCCTTTGCATCCTTACCGCGCGCCCGTCTCGTACGATTCCACGGGTTAAGTAACAAAACCCAACAAGTATTCGCTGGTCTTCGCGCCCGCCCCCCTCCTCCTCCGTTTCCTCCTCCTCCTTCTTTCTCTTGCGCAGGCTGCCGAGCGCACACGCTCGTAGCGTCACTCCTCCTCCTCCTCCTCCTCCTCCTCCTCCTCCTCTTCTTTCTCATCATCACCCTCTCCCTCCTCCCGCTCATCCTCCACCTCCTCCTGCTCCTCTTCCTTTTCCTCCTCCTCCTCCTCTTCCTTTTCCTCCTCCTCCTCTTTTCCTCCTCCTGCCTCCTCCTTTTCCTCCTTCTACCCCATGGCGGCCGCGCCCCCCCCCACCCCCCCGAGAGGCTGGCGGCGACGGCGGGCCGCCGCCCGCCCCGACCGAGCGGCCCACAGCGCCTGCAGGCTTTTGGGGGGGCGTCGAGGGAGGGAGGGACAAAGGGTTGGAGGGAGGGGGAAAGGGTGGAGGAGAGAGGATGGAAGGAGGTGGAGGGGGAGGAGCAGGAGGAGGAGGAGGAGGAGGAGGAGGAGGAGGAGGAGGAGGAGGAGGAGGAGGACAAGTAGGAAACGAACAAGGAGGAGGAGGAGGAGGAGGAGGGCGGAACAGAACAAGTAGGAGACGAACATGGAGGAGAAGGAGGAGGAGGAGGAGGAGGAGGAGGAGGAGGAGGAGGAGGAGAGGAGGAGGAGGAGGGAGGAGGAGGAGGAGAGGCGCATTGGGGTCCTGGCGTCGCAGTGATTCACAACGGGAGGCTTCATCTAGTCTCGGGCCCCGGGGCCCTCACGGGCCGATCGAGGTCGAAGAAGAACGCAAAAAGGCTGGTTCGAGAGATTTTGTGGAGTTGTGCTACCATGTTGCAAGGTGTTCGAGAGACGTCGGATCTCAGGGGGTGAGGAGGGAGGGAGGAAGAGGAGGAGGAGGGGGGAAGAGGAGGAGGAGGAGGAGGACTCAAGGAGGAGGATGAGGAGGAGGAGGAGGATGGAGGAGGGACGCGGGAGACAGTTGGGCGTAGGCGGGAGCAGGGAGGAAGGAAGCGAGAGGAGGGAAGATGGAGAAGGAGGAAGGAGGAAGGAGGAAGGAGGGAGGGGGGAGGAGGAGGGAGGATGAGGAGGAGGAGGAGGAGGACGACGACGACGAACTTGCGGATTGTTTGGCCAGCGCAGGAGTCCGTGCGGGGAACGCTGGGAAGGGTGGAGGGAAGGGTGACGAAGGACAGCTCCCGCACGCGGACGCCTCAACTTCGACGAAACCCGAACGTGATCGTTGGCTCTGAGGCTCGGTCGAATATGACAAAGCGTCGTGTTCATGTTTTGTTCCGAGGTCCGCGCGGATTCTTGGATCGGCGCTGAGTTCGAATTGCCAGCGTCGGTCCAGGGAATCCGCGTGGACCTCCGAAGTTTGCGCTTGTGGAGTGTTCTCTTCAGATGTCGGAGGGGGTGGAGGACGTTTATCGTTGACTCTTAAAGGGTGTTTTCGTTGGTTCGGAGGGTTCTCGCCTTGGGGCTGGGGGTGTTCTCCAGCAGCTGTGTCTCGTCGAGAGCTTTCGGAGGGTGCCCGAATCGTCCCAGACGGCGGTCGGAGGACCGAGTTATGTCCTGAAAACCATCAGGCGTGGAAGAGGCAGGGACGACCAAGGGTGTGTGTGTGTGTGTGTGTGGATATCACGACCTTGGCCATGAAATCTGCCAGCTGTCAGTACGTTTGGGGTCACATACATAAGACATATACCACCGCGGGTGTTCTTGTTGCCGTCGAGATTGAGTTGGGGTATTATTTCGGCGATGGATCGCAAGTTGTGTCACACCACGCGATGGTAGCACGTCTTCTGCGCAGCGTCATTCGGGCGCGCGTCTCCACGCGCAAGCAACAGGAACACGTTGACATGGTCTATAGTTCGGGATTCTGTGTGTTTCATCTTTTTTTCTCGGGGGGCCTGCCCTTTATATACACCACTCCCGGCAGTTGGGTGCTCGAGAGCAATCGGTGTCGATCAAGTGTGGCCACCATTTGCGCGCACGACCACGTGACAAGTATCTCTGTTTGGTGTAGGCTCGCAGTGGCTGCCCTTGCCCCGGCGGTCGGGCATGCGTTGAAATGTTACAATTGTACTGCCGCCTGGCTGGATATGATCTACACATTTGCAATCCCCGCCAGGTGTTTTTCTCTCGGTGGGGTTCTGGACGGCCCTGTGTATGTCAAGTCGGGAATCGTTGCGGGCTGCTCGCTGGCAACGACCCCCATTCGGGGCAATTGCTTGGAAGATCTGGACAGGATCCGCGTCAGACCAGAAGCCGACTTTGCCCTGTACATAGACGACTCGGGGCTCAGTGCGGTCGGCACTTTCGAAGTCGCGGTAGATTCTGTTACTGAAGGGGCTCCCCAATTTCTTCGGGCCATCGAGGATGGCATTGGCGGTAAGGTTGCGTAAGATAAATCGAACCTCGTTTGTTTCCCCAGGGCGTTGGGAAATGCTATTCAGAAACGCCTTGGGGCGGGCCTTACAGGTCCCTTGTCGGGCTGTTCTGTCAACCTGGGGATTGATGATAGCGCGGGCAAGAGTTACCGTGTCAGGGGTCGGTCCAAGAAATTTAAGTTGTGGCTCGCCCTTTTCAAGAGACGGGCCTCTTGCGTCGCTAATCTTCGTTCGGTGTTGGGGAATCGTCGAACGTTGCGCGTTTTCAATGCAGGACCGTTGCCAGGTCTCTTTTACGGCAGCGAGGTACGAGGAGTCACCGACCACGAATTCCTCTGCATTCGCCGAGCCGCTGCCAAGACGGCAAAACCCTCTGCGGGAGGACGCTTCTTGACGATTCTGGCCAATATCATCGGGGACCATGCCTGGATTGGTGCTGTTGCCCCCATCTTGCGATTGTGCAAATAAGTTTGTCTTACTCAAGTGAGGGTTTTTGCAGGCTCGTTGTCGTTCAAGGAGCTCCGTTCCGCATGGGAAGGTGTCTTCTACAGTGAGTCGCCCTCATGGAGGTCGGTCTCAGGACCAGTTTCGGCGATGCGCAAGTCGTTGGAGAGGATCTCCTGGTCCATGAGGGGCATCGCCACCTTCGTAACGGACCAGGGTATCGAGCTCTCCTTCACCCTAATTTATCCTCAGTTGATGAAGCGACAACTCAAACAGGCGGTTCTTCGGATTTTGGAATGGGATGCTGGTAGGAAATGGGGAGTTCGGCATCGTCTGTGTTTCGACATCATGGGGAAAAACCAGCCATTCGCAGTATTTTTGTTCTGTTTCCCGCGTTGGAACAGGCATGCATCAGAGCCCGAGTGGCCCATGCTATATGGACACGCCAGAGAGCAAAGGACGTTGGATCTGCCATTTACCCCGCCTGCCCGAAGTGTGGCCTCGCCCCAGACACGCAGCACCATCGTTCGTGGGTTTGTCAATGCCCTGAAGTTGTTGAGCTTCGCCTCAGTTTAGTCGATCAGGAAGCCAATGATCGTGCCACCTCCGAAACCGACCGCGTTGTTTCCTGTTCCGGCGCGCTTGCGCATCCCAGTGGTTAATTTCCGAAGCCTGCGGCTGCAGCCTCGGCCACCTTTTGGGCTCGAGATGACCTCCCCCAGGATGTGAATCAGTTCAGTGTTAACCGCATTCGATTCACCGATGTTCGCGATAAGCATAAGGTCCAGCAGATTTGCAAGATCAACGCCCACCGTTCGCTCGACGAGTGGGCTGACCAACGCGATGAGATGTGTCGCCTTGGTAATCATTGGGCGGACGTGGGGGCCAAGGAGGCTCCAGGTGGCGAATGCTACTTCGGGCGCGCCGCGCCCTCGCCCGAAGCTGGTTCCCGCCTCAGCTTCGATGTAAAAATAGCTCGCGCTGTAGCCTCGCTATGAGCCCGTCTGCTCCCCACCTGGCCACGCCTTGATCTGGATGGGGCGGAGTATGTCAAGCCCCCTCGCGAGGTCAGGGAAGGCCGTCCACGTTGCCAGCGGCAGGCCGTTTAGCTTCCCCACCTAGGCTCGCGGCCAGGTTTTTGGAAGTGCGTGCGGCGTTGGAATCTCAACCGCTCGCCCCCCCATGGCCCTCCACCTGCCGCCCCCGTCTGCAGTCCTGCTGGTGGGCTCTCCCCCGAGGCGCTCGCAGGCAGGGGACGCCACTGCATTGCGCTTCGTTGTTCGGGCCAGGCAGAGCTGGTCGCGTGCCTCGTGTGCCACTGCCATTCGTCTCGCGGAAGGGTCGCTGGCCTGGGCAAGCCGCGCCGTGGGCCTACCCGAGCCACCCGCCGCGGCAACTTGAGCTCGATTTGTAAAGTCCGCCATCGTGTCAGAGCGGGAATTCTTGTGGAACGCGGGCCGCGGTCGGTGCTCAGTGCTGCGCAGGCCCCTGTTATGGAGGCGGAGGAGTCCGACGTCGTCGTCGAGTCGGTCATCGGGGGAGGGGCCTCTCTGACGGGCGTGGTCCCCGACGAATTGGGAACCGCGTCGGGCGAGGAGGGCGCGGCCCCGTGTATATTTGGCAGCTCGCCTCGCCAAGGCGGGAGCGATGTCGTCGATGAGTTTTTCGCCGGGGAGAGGTTCGATGCCGCTCCTGGATGGGGGCGACGAGTCAGCCTTGGCCCCAGCTGGCGGGTCGGCTGGCATCTGCGTAGGCGGCCACGGCACAGGGTTCTTCTCCTGCCCACCTGATGTCGAGCCTTCTGGGGGGGCGGGGCCGTCGGAGAGTCGTCTCGTGGGGGAGGGGCTCGGCCCTTCAGGAGAAGCAAGCGCGGGCCTGCCCCGTCGCGCACGGGCGCCCGCGCCCTCTCGCCGAGCGCTCGCCTGGCCTCCCGCCCCTTTCCCGCAGGGGACTCTGAGGTGTCGGGCCCCCGCTCTGCTTCCTCCTCAGCATCCCCCCCTTTCCCCCCCCCGCGCACCCCGTGCTCTGCGGAGGCCTTGCGCCGAGGGGGGAGATCGTTTCGAGGCTTCGTTTGCCTCCTCCTCGGGAGGGCAGGCGGCCCAAGAGAATTGGGGAGTCTGCGATGGCTGCTGGCAGGGGCGAGTTTGCCCGTGGGGTCCCAGCCGCCAGTCTTCAGCCACCCCCTGCTGCTGCTCCTCCCGAGGATGCGCTTGCAGGGGTGGAGGCAGCTGCGAGTTTTGTGCTCGACAGCCCTGCGCGCCACGTCTGCCGTCGTCGAGTCTGTCGCTGGGGGGCCTGGCGGTGGAACGCACCAGGCTCACTGCGTGGAGTGCCAGTGCGTGCGGCAGCGGCCGCCTCCGCCTTGGTTGGGCGTTGAGCTCGAAGGTGAGGAGGTGGCAGCGTTTGCCCCTGTCTTCGATGGCCCTTCGGTCCGTCTCCCAGGGGCATCCTGTGCGCGCGTAGGCTCGTCCTCTAATGAGGCGTGTTGTGTTTGGCTTGCTATCTTTTGTTGAGTTTTCTTTGGGGCTGCTGCCGCAGCACCCAGCGTGGCTGGTGCATCTTGTGCGCTTCAGGCCCCTTGTCCTGCTGCCTCATTTCCTCCCCTGCCTCTGTGAGCACGCCTGCGATTCAGGCGGTTTGGCACCGTCTCCTTGCGGAGGCTGTTTCTGTTGCGGAGGAGGAGATCGGATCCGACGGTTTTTCATCGGGATCCGATTCGGTGGCAGTTCATCATCATATTGATGCCAAACAAAATGTTCCCTGGCCGCCCCTTATCCGCGCACCATGCGCTGGCCCTCCCCCTCCTCCTCCTCCTCCTCCTCCTCCTCCTCCTCCTCCCCCTCCTCCTCCTTCTCCTCCTCTTCCTCTTCATATTCCTCCTCCTCCTCTTCCACCTCCTCCTTCTCCTGCTCCTCTTCTTCTTCCTCCTTCGCCTCCTCCTCCTCCCCCTCCTCGTTCTTCTCCCCATTCCGTTCCGCTCCGTTCCGGATGGTCGTGCAGGATGCGTTCCCTCTCCAGAGCACGCCAGAGGATTCATTAGCCAAGCCATGCCGCGAGCACTGCTTAGTGATGGGAAACGGCTCCCCCCCCTCCCTCCTCCTCTTCCGTTCCGCTCCGCTACGTTCGTCCTCCTCCTCCTCCTCCTCCTCCTCCTCCTCCTGGCGCAAGCCAGCTTGCGCAGCCAGCTCACACAGCCAACCTACACCTACGCGCAATGGGTGACAAGAGTCTGGTGGCATCCAAGCGCCAGGCGGAACGCTCAGGTGCAACGCCCGTGCGCAAGGGCGCGAAGAAGAACCCCGACGAAAAGATGGTGGCCCTCGAAGACATTTCGAGCGACGATGGCGAGACCAAGGAGGCGACGATCGTCGACACTGGAACACCAGAGTGGTTCCAGAACTTCGAGAAGAGACCAGATAAGATATTCGAGAAGCTCTCCAAGAACATGACCAAACCCAGGGGGATGACCCATCATACAAGGAAGGACATGGAGGATATGGCGATTGACGTGACGAGCATACATGACAATATGGATGATATTGATGTGGAGGTGACCAGAGTCAGAGTGGATCTCGGCGAACTGTGCGCGACGAAGACGGAGATGAAGGAGATGATCCAGACGATGGTCGGGGAGGCTATCGACAAACATCTGAAAGACAAGAAGGGCCATGCACAAACCCACTATCAACCGCAACATGAACGGGACCTGCAATTCATCGCGGGGGGCCTGAAGAAGCAGGAAGAGGAAAACCACATCATCGAACAGATCAGGCATGTCTTGCAGGAGCACGGGGTGGAACCTAGGATCACAAGTATGTCCACGATCCTCGACCCATCAAAAACCGGAGGTTTGGAACTTACAGCCGATGTCGCGAAACGGGGCTTCCGAAAGAAGATAAGGACAAACAAACTACGTGGAAGTGTGGGGGAAAATTTGGCTCGCCAACAATAGTAGAATCTAAAAGGGAATAGTTGACACATCACTTGGTGGGGAAGAACAGAAGTCGATCCGGATATCCTGGGACACTGGAGTTATCAACATCAAGGGTGTGAAGGTTGCTGAAGTGGAGGGGGCGACAGCTTCGAAACGTACGCGAACGGATGCCAGATCAAGCAGGATGTGGTGACGTTCGTGGAGCAGCGGCGGAACGAACGCGACGCCACGTGACGTCCCAGCCTTGGCCGCAGAGCGGAACTTGATGCATCACCACGGACCCGCCAAGCGCCTGATATATTATTGTGTAGTTTTGGGACGGTTGGAGCTTCTATATTCAATCGTTTTTTTTTCGACCGCATGCCAGGGCGCATTCGGATCCCGAACACAGCAGTTTGGTAACGTTAATTCGCAGGAAGGCGTTCCTTCCCGACAACAGCGTGGCCGCGCTCATGAAGGACAGTTCCGAAGATCACGGCTGGGCGATCCTTGCAACAGCCAACACGCCAGCACCGACAAGCAGCGACCTCCACAGACGAACGCCGACCAGAGACCAACCGACCAGCCCGAACGTCGACCACCAGACTGACCACATACCTCCAGCAGCACCAACCACAAGCGACCGCCGCAGACTATCAGCAGCGACCTCCGCAGACAACCGACTTCATCCGCAGAAGCACACGGAGGGCGGTATCATTCATGCTCATGCTCGATATACCAGACGTAGTGTATATACACCGTAGAATAGTGCGGCGATGGGCGAATGCGGTGTCTCACCATCCCACGACTCGCTGGACCCGGAGAGTGCTGGAATGGAACCCGAATCTCAATACACGCCAGCGCGGACGACGGCAGCAATGGGGACAGCCAAAGCGGTGGGACGACGATACCGGCAGGTTTCTGCACAGTCTGGAGGGCGAGGCCGTAGAGGAACAGAACAGGGCAGCCACCCAACCGCGACAATACGAGCGCAACAAAACGAGCGACCTACGATGGATCTGGGCCGCCTGCTGCACAGAGCGGGGGACATCCTGTGAGCCGGCATACGTTTCACAAGCTTGAATAGTTGGGTGATCTTCTTTGTCGAGGCCACGGCCTCCACGCCATGCCCTTATGGGAACGGGCTGGCTCCCCGGTGGAGCGCGCACCACGACTCCGGCGTTCGCTTCGCTTCGCTTCGCTCCGCTCCGCTCCGCTCCGCTCCGCTCCTCCTCCTCCTCCTCCTCCTCCTCCTCCTCCTCCTCCTCCTCCTCCTCCTCCTCCTCCTCCCCATTCCTTTGCCAGATTCCCGAGGTGCCGCCTCCAGCCCCTTGCCGCCCGCCAGTTTCGGCGGCGGCACTCCCGTCGAGGACCGGGACGGGCCCGCCGCCCGAGGGGACGACGACGAGGACCACGGCGACGACCCCTGCGCACCTGCGCCGTGAAGGCCTTGAGACCGTTTTTAATTCTTCACGCTTCGCGTATCCCCACCAGCCCATCTCAAAACAGCAACTCTAGCGAAGCATGCCGACAGTCGTGTTTTTCAGGCGTGTTTCCGCCTGCCCCCGCATACCTCCCCTGTTCCTCCTTCCTCCCGCCTCCTTGTACATCCTCCTTGTGGTGGGAGCGGGAGAAGGACGAGGCGGAGGAGGAGGGAGAGAAAGCGCTCCTCGTGGTTTGAGTCGTTCGGGCTTCTCGTCCTGGTGTGAGTCGTTCGGGCCCTTCTTCCTGGTGTGAGTCGTTCGGGCTCTTCGTGGTGTGAGTCGTTCGGGCTCTTCGTCCTGGTGTGAGTCGTTCGGGCTTCTCGTGGTGTGAGTTGTTCGGGCCCCTCGTCCTGGTGTGAGTCGTTCGGGCCCCTCCTCCTGCCCGTCCAGAAACGACGCCCAGGCGAGTAGAGGGTCGTCCTGATGGGCTTTTCGGCGTCTTGGGTGCCTCGGGGGGGCCTCTTTGGGCCGTTTGGGATCCTCTTGGGGGCCTCCTGGGGGCCTCTTGGGGCCATCTTGGGGCCTCTTGGTGCCTCCTGGGCGCTTCTTGGGGCCATCTTGGAGGAAATCGATCAAAGAAGAGGGGAGCTTTAATTAGCGCTGGCCCCTCAGAAGGCCAAAATGGGGCCAAAACCGTAGTAAAATCAATGATTTTGACTTGAAAGAAGAGGGGAGCTTTAATTAGCGCTGCCCCCTCAGAAGGCCAAAATGGGGCCAAAACCGTAGTAAAATCAATGATGTTGGCTTCAAAGAAGAGGTTTTTTTTGTTCTCCCCCCCCCCCGTCGGGGCCAGAATCCTCGTGAGGGGTGTCGTTTTTTAGCCCTCCCAGGAGTCGAAAAAGACCCCTCCAACCACCCGCGAAAGGACCTCTCCAGGTCCAGGGGGAGGGGGTCGGGGGAAGGGCAAACCCCTCCCCGAAGGGGAAGAAGGGGGTTGAGAACAGAGCGGGCTCTCTAAACCACTCACGCCCAAAGGGCTGGTGGGATTCCACTGGCGATAACTGGCGTGTCCGGGGACTGGGGCCGGACGGGGGTTTGGACGAGGATCAATCCGTTCCAGAGCGCAAGAACGCTCTGAGAGGGCCGCCGCGGCGGCCGAGACATCCTCCAGAGCCGCCTGATCTCAGAGATTCTCGATTTGTCTTTGCCAGATCCTGTCCTCGTCCTGGCTTCGTCTCAGGGGAAGGGAGGGGGGAGGGGGCCGGGTCACGTCACGATTCAGTGCCGCCCGGGAATGCCCACGAATGTCTCATGCCCACACGGCGCCGGCGCGAAGCGTGACGCGACCTGGGGGGGGGGAGGGAGGGCGGGGCCCGTGATTGGTGTCACCACGAGTAAGAACATCAGGCTCAATCCAGTCGAGCGGCGGTAGAAAACGGGGTCGCCTGCGCCGACGTGCGCGCGGGAGTTTCCTGCGCACGGTCGCGAGTGGCGGCCTTTTGCTCCACGAGCTGGCGGACCGCGTGAGCCGCGGAGTGAGGCCGCTGCGCCCTCTCGTCCAGGCCGGGCTGTTTTTGTCGCCCAGTGGTTCCGTTCATGAGCTTGTTTCCCACCACCACCACCATAAGTTGGAGGGGGAAGGAGGAGGAGGAGGGCGAGGAGGAGGTGGACGAAGAAGAGGAGGAGGAGGATGATCACCCCCTCCAACTTATAGTGGTGGTGGTGGAAGACACGCCCATCATCCGTTCAGGATCCTCGCGGATCGATCCAGCTCGCGAGGCACCGGAGACTGACGGGCCCGACCGCTCCCGTCGCGGCCTCCTCACGTCTGTGGCGGGAGAGTGGCAGGGCGTCGGGGGCCCGAGGGTCCCCCGGTCGCCTGCGGGCGCGCCCTCTGGCAGGGCCAGGAGGGGCCAGGCTCAGGATGCAGTGGAGCTGCCGAGGGCATCACCACCCACCAAACCACCCCAACCCAACCCGAAGGCCTAAATTTGCCCTCCATTTCCAGTTGGGGGGGATCGGGAAACGTCGAAAACACATGTGGAACCCTTACCCCCCCCAACCCGAAATCTGGGTCTTCGGGTTGGGTTGGGGTGGTCTGGTAGGTAGTCAGGGTAGGGGGGGGATCCTGGGCTCGGGACCCAGACCTGTGGTGCCTTGGTTCGCAGGCGATGGTTCTCTCCCGATGCTCGAGTTCCGCTTGAACAGTTGGGCCGATCAGAGAAAAAAGCGGAACGTTTGGGGTACACCCCAAGGGAGCTATTCGGACGCACCCTTATCAAGCCTGGGATAGTGGTCGACAAATCCCCTGCTATTGTTGCAGCTGCATGCGCCACGACGCCAGCGATGCACGCGTTTTCTATTTTCACAGCCAGACCCCATCCGAGCCAGTTGGCGTTTCGCAGGGAGGCTACGGCCTGAACGTTCGCGCCCTAATGGTCACGGAGTCTGCTCCGAGCGCGAGCGCGAGTCGAATCGAAAACGACCGTGCCCTCCGAGGTCCCGACCCTCTCCCCGCGCACAGGCCTCCGCGCGCTGATACCTTGCGGGTGGTCTCTACCGGGACGCCTGGGCCTTCCAGCAGGGAGCTCGCGCTGCAGCGTGTGAGCATCGTTCCTCCGACACCCATCCCCGGCGGCGTGGCCTGGGCCCCCCTGGCCGATCTGCCCCCCTAGGACGGGGATGTAGGCAGTCCCCTTCGGGTCACGAGGGGTGTGTTCGCAACTGGGGTGGCAAGCTGGTGGGGGCCTCGAAGGGCATGCGGACGGGGACCCCAGGGGGCTGGCCTTTGCAGCCCAAGCCGCTCGTGGCCGGTCCCGGGGGGGTCCAGCGATGGCCCCTGGGAGGCCGAGGGCGGAGAGAGGCCTTTGCGGTCGTGGCTGCTGCTTCCAGGGCGCGAGCACGTCTCTTTGGGGGGGTTGGGGGGGCGGTGCCCTGGCGTTTTTTTTTTTTTTTTTTTTTTTTTTTTTTTTTTTTTTTTTTTTTTTTTTTTTTTTTTTTTTTTTTTTTTTTTTTTTTTTTTTTTTTTTTTTTTTTTTGTTTTTTTTTTGAAAAAAAAAAAAAAAAAAAAAAAAAAAAAAAAAAAAAAAAGGTCGGGCGATTCGGGGGCGGAAAAGAGGGGGTGATGGCTAGGCGGGGGTGGATATCATGGCGCTGGCCATGATATCTCCGCAGATTTCATGGCGCCTCTTCTTATTTCATTACGTCCCAGGCCCCCCCGCTGGGCCGCGCACATGCCGCCGGTCATGATTTGCACCCCCCCCCCCATCTTGAGCACCCCCCTCTTGGCCGCTCCCGAGCGATAACCCAGGTTGTCGGGCTTGCCCTCCCTCCCCCCCCAGGATAACTTGGCCTTGCCGGTTGTGCAGGTCCGCGGGAGGGGTGGCGCGGGCATATGCAGGGCTGCCCACGGCGCGAGGGTTAGGTTATCGGGCGGCCCCCCCCCGGGATAACCCGGGTTATCGCCGATTCAAAAAAAATATCCCGGCAAAGCAACCTAACAGCTATGTGTAGAAGCATATCTGAAAGCATTCCCCTTAAGATTCAGATGAAAATCCAGTTGTAGAATTCTGCTGTTCTCGCAGTCGTAGTCGCATTCGCGATGACAGTCGCAGCGGCAACGGCAGTCGCAGTCACAGCCTCAGCCTCAGCCTGCCTCAGCCTCAGCCTCAGCCTGCCTCAGCCTCAGCCTGCCTCAGCCTCAGCCTCAGCCTGCTTCAGCCTCAGCCTCAGTCTGCCTTCAGCCTCGGCCTCAGCCTCAGCCTGCCTCAGCCTCAGCCTGCATCAGCCTCAGCCTCAGCCTCAGCCTGCCTCAGCATCAGCCTGCCTCAGCCTCAGCCTCAGCCTGCCTCAGCCTCAGCCTCAGTCTGCTTCAGCCTCAGCCTCAGTCTGCCTTCAGCCTCGGCCTCAGCCTCAGCCTGCCTCAGCCTCAGCCTGCCTCGGCCGCAGCATCAGCCTGCCTCAGCATTCAAAATGTGGCCCAGGAATGGAGTTCTGGGAACTAGAAGAACACGAAGTGGCCTACAGTTGGCTCCGGGCATTCAAAATCATGCCCAGGAATGGAGTTCTGGGAACTTGAAGAGCACGAAGTGGCCTACAGTTGGCTCCGGGCATCCAAAATGTGGCCTGGGAATGGAGTTCTGGGGAATCGAAGAGCACGAAGTGGCCTACAGTTGGCTTCGGGCATCCAAAATGTGGCCCGGGAATGGAGTTCTGGGGAATCGAAGAGCACGAAGTGGCCTACAGTTGGCTTCGGGCATCCAAAATGTGGCCCGGGAATGGAATTCTGGGAAGTCGAAGAGCACGAAGTGGCCTACAGTTGGCTCCGGGCATCCAAAATGTGGCCCGGGAATGGAGTTCTGGGAGCACCAAGAGCTATGTTGCGAGGGTGTCCCAAGCGATTTCGGCTTCGGCGGCAGCCTCCCCGGGTCCCGCCCCGACCCCCCTGTGGAGTCGTCTGCTGCTCTCTTTTGAGTCCACTAGAAACCTATCAGCAAAAGCTGCTAGGTAAAAATGGTCTCTTGGTTGTCAGGCCGTTCCTCGGTGGTCGGCGCCGCTCCCGCACACCAGTGCTGCGGGTGCGTGGAGCCCGACGGGGCGACGCGCGCGCCTAGAAGGCTTGATCGTGCATGCTCCGTGGCGGGCGCTCTCTGGCCGTACCGCCCGGGAAGCGACGCAGACTGGAAGAATTGCGTGCTGCATGTTCGGGTCGGACGCGCGCCTCCGAGGAGAACACATGAAAGGAAACAATGTCATGGCAGAAACACAACAACTCGGAGGTGCGCGCGGATTCCTCGGATCGCAGCTGGGGCCCCCTGGCGGCGCCTCCGGTGCCGCCCCTGGCGCGCTCCGCGCGCCAGGGAGGGGGGTCCAGCGCGGATCCGAGAAATCCGCGCGGACCTCCGAGTTTTTATGTTTATGTTATTTCTTCGTTCCCCTAACGTAGTACTGGTATTAAGTCGGGCCTGTCCCTCTACAGGAGGAATATTCAAACATAGTAAAAAATAGTCAGGGGACGACTTGTTGAGTATTTGCTTGACTTTTTGGGAGTATCGTCCGGAATCCGCCTGTATGGGGGACACGTCCGACCTAGTACTAGTACGCCTTTGTGCGTCCCATCAGATGTAGGTTGGGAGGTCCATTTGTGGCCGGATCCGAGAAATCCGCGCGGATCCGAGAAATCCGCGCGGACCTCCGAGTTTTGTATGTTTATGTTTTATCTTCGTTCCCCTAACCTAGCACCAGCACGTCCTTGTGCGTCCCGTCGGATTCAGGAGAGGAAAAAACACACACTAGACACAATTGATTCTCGATTCCCAGGAAAATATATGGGAAAATATGGGAAGTGGGGGGGAAGACAGGAACCCAGAAAATATGGGAACATATGGGGAATATGTTTATCTGTGTGTATTTATTTGTGTGTGTGTCCTTGGGCCCCTTCACGGATGTGGGTCGGGAGGTCCACTCGTGGCCGTGGCCAGCGTCCGAGGGGCCGCCCGCCGGCCTCGCCGCTGCCGGTCCGGCCGGCCTCGGGGGCGGCCCAAGGCTCGCCACAGCTACCCAGGCCTCGCACATCGGGCCGGAGTGGGCGTCTAGAGGAGGGAGAGTAGAACGACACGAAGATCGGGACAAAATCGGATCGGGATAACTCGAAATGTCTGAGAATCGGCGGGTTTGGAGGATGTATTGGGCGCCGCGGCCGCTCCAGAGCGTTCCGGAACGCTCTGAGAGCGCTCCGGAACGCTCTGGAGCGATTTATCCCGATCCTAGCCCTGTTTTAGAGAGTCGGCGTCGAGCGAGGGGGGTGGAAAGGAGAAGGCCCTCTCAGAAGGCAACGGGGCTTCTCAGAAGCCCTCCTCCCAAGACTCGCCACAGCTACCCAGGCCTCGCACATCGGGCCGGAGTGGGCGTCAGAGGAGGGAGAGTCGGCGTCGAGCGAGGGGGTGGGGGGGGAAAGGAGAAGGCCCTCTCAGAAGGCAGCGAACTTCTCAGAAGCCCTCCGGCTCTGAGAAGGTTTCTGTGCCTTCGGGCAAGGCTCAGAAAGCTTCTCAGAAGGGCCGGGGAATTCCGAGGCTCCAAAGACGGCCCGCCCCGCCCCCTCTCGCCTCCCCCCTCCGAGATCGCCGTCAAGCAAGCCGTAGCAGAAAATCACGACGGGCAGTTTTTGGCAATGCTTGGCCTCCAGAGGACCTCGCCGGGCCCCAGGACAGACAAAAAAACGGTTCGGAGTGAAAGATTGGCCCCTGAGCAGTAGAGGCGTCGGTATTTGCTGATTCCCGCCATGGGGCTAGAGTGGGTGGGGTCGGCGGATCGCGCCGCATCACTGCAAACCCTAAACCCTAAACCCTACAGGGGGATTTTGGACGAAAGAATAACAAATACCCCCAAATATTCTCAACATGCAGAAGTAGTCAAAAAATAGTCCCCAGACTTTTTGTTCTACTACTATTTTTGAATATCCCTCCTGTAGAGAGGGACAGGCCCGACTTATCACCTCATGCATCGGCGACTCGTCGCGATCCAGAGCCCGATCATGTCCAGCCCGACGTCGCAGATGCGTCGACGATGCGGTGCGATCCTCCGACCCCGCTCGCTGCTGTGGCCCTACTGAGGGGCCTCCAGGCTGAGGGATCTGTGCTCCGAACGAGTGTGATCATAAACTTCACAAGTTGATTATCACTTGTTGTTGTGTTGTTTTATATCACAGTTGTGTTATACCACTTGGTGTGTTTTATTATGACAGTTGCTTATCACAGTTCTTTTGTTCACCTGTTGTTCAGTCTTATAGTTCTTACCACAGTTGTTGGGGATCACAGTTTTTTATCATTGTTTTTTGACCGAGATTGCCCTCCCCCTCCCTGGGGGGCGGACACATCGTCGATGTAGCCCCCCCTCCCCAGCAGGGGCGCAGGGCACGCAGCACCCCGGCTGGTAGATCCCCTTCGGGGATCATCCGTCGGCATTGGAACGTGCAGGGAAGATGAGCATGGCCCCTGCGCGAGGATGACACGCACAAGTCGAGGCGCGACGGGCCCCCTGCCTTCTATTTTTTTGCGCGACGGGCCCCCTGCGCAAGGATGATGACCCCCTGTCTTCTATTTTTGGCGCGACGGGCCGGGGCGCGTTGTTTCGTGCTCCGTGGTCCTCCTCCTTCTGGGCCCCCTCCACCTCTTCCGGCTCCTGCGCGCCCTGTTTGCCACCCGCTCTCGCCGGTGGGCTCCCTCTAGATAGTAAAACGTGTGTTCGTATGCTACGCTTGGCGCGCGTCCACAAAGCCCGGCTGGCGTCCCGGGGCAAGCGCGTTCTGGCAGGGACGTCTCGGGGCGCGCCCCGCCGTGCCCACCAGTGCACTCTACAGGAGGTTCAAAAGATCAGGCTCCGACCTCTTGGAGCTGGCTGGGGGAGGAGGAGGAGGAGGAGGAGGAGGAGGAGGAGGAGGAGGAGGAGGAGGAGGGGGAGGAGGAGGGGGAGATCAGGTTCCGACCTCCTCTTGTCGGGGAACGGAAGACTCGAGTAAGCCAGAACTCAGGTTTGCCAACGTTTTTTGGGCGAACACGCCCCGGATTTTGACGGTCCAGTTGTCGTGGGATGTTGGCAGCGTGAGCTCGCGTCAAGTTTCAGATCCGGTCTCGTCGTTTTTACGATGGCCCCGTCAGGCCAACCCGAGTCCCCCGTGCCCGAGTCTTACGTCTCCCCGATCTTGTAGCCGGCTGGGGGGCCTGGTGATGGGACTGATTTCCACCACCACTACCATATGTTGGAGAAGGAGGAGGAGGAGAAAGAAGAGGAGGAGGAGGACCTCTCCCTCCAACCTATGGTAGTGGTGGTGGAAACCAAGCCCATCACCTGGGGTGGCCCCGCGCTGCTTCTGGCCAGCAGTCACGGGGGGGGGGGTCCGCTCCCCGCGTCGCCACGGCTGGCCGCGGCTCGAACAACCAATCAGCTTCGACCTTGGGATGGGTGAGGTGGTTGATTTTGAGCGGATCTGCCTTCGGCACCCCCTCTTAATCGAGTGTCCAGTGGCTCAATTCGGGGCCATTCCGATCCAACCGATCCGATTCGAGATCGATTCGAATTGGCTCGATCATATTCAATTCCGATATCCCGCCGATCCAAAGCGCCCTGATGCCTGCCTGGCGCTGCTGTGGACCCCTTCACGCGGCCGCCACAATTTGATTTCGACTCCGTGCCGATGCGGCCCGATTCGATGCGGATTCCGATTCGACCCCATTTCCCGATTCGATGCTGACTGATCCTGCAATCAGCGCAGACCTCCCCGCCGCTTCCGAGTCCGCTCTCTCTTCGTTAACCGGGCGGCAGTCTAGCGGGGCCACCGCCGCCGCGGGGAGGACGACGAGAGAGAACCAGACGCGGCGACCTGAGTTGGCCGCCGCCTGGACCGGCGGGCGCTTCTCTGATGGGGGCGGGCGGGGGCCGAATGCGCGGACCGCTCGCTCGTGTCCAAAAGGACAGAGTTTCTCGGCCTCCTCGATAGGGGGCCACATGCGAACCCTACCCCTACCCCCCACGATTTCTGAGGGGGAGTGTGGGGTTCACTTCGTTCGTGAACCCCACCCTCCCCCTCA